TTTTTTTACATGTATTTATTTTATTTCTTAGAACAAGAGTTTTCTTATCTTGAAAATACTAGCGGAAGTTTTTATTCTAAATTTGTTTTTTATTTACTGAAATATTCAAGTGTGTCAAATAAACCATAAATGAAAGCAAATCAAGAATAAGGACATGAAAATAATTGTTGAAGCCCTATCGAATGGTAACACCCCCTTCCCCCCCAAATAGTTCTAAGTAGGAAAATTCCTTAGTCTGTTCAGGCATCTAGGAGGAATATCAGGAATCGGGGAGGAAGCAAGGATGAAAACAGGTGAGTTCGGATGGATATGAGTTTATCATGAAATTATAGGTATCTTAATCGTGCCAAAGCAGCGACACGTATATATCACTACGGTCTTTATGAATGATTTTATTTTTTACAAAATATGGAGCATTAAGAATTTTGCGAAGGATTTCGGGTTGTAATAATTGGATATGATAGAAGTTCCATAATTTGGTGGAGCCCTAAATCTCAACTCCGTATGTGAACATAGATTTTATTATTGTAAATACTAATACATAAAATAAAATTGAATTTCATCAAAGTAAATTTGCGATCTGTAAATCGCTTTGCAATGAGCAATTTTTCGGCAGCTTTACAGCGTCCCGTCACATATCCAGGAAATAGATTAGTTCAGCCGGTCTCTCGGCCACCAGTAATCGCGAATAATTAATAATTAAGTAATAATCTCATAATTATATTGAGTCAAATAGTCCAAAGAGGTTAGAACCGGTTCCATTATATTGCACATATACATTACTGGGTTGTACGGGTTTCTAGTGCATTTAAAGTTTTTTGTTAGGGGATTTATGTTGGATCAAGTTAATCTTTGGTAAAAGTTTTTGTAGTTTTATTTTTCAGTGTCTAAAATTGTGGGGATAAAACTATCCTTCGTAAAATTTCGACTGGAAATACAGTATTTATTAAATATTTGATGCTTTAGCAGAACCCTGCAGTAATATACCGGTTAAAGTCAAGCAAAAACATCTAAAACCGACAAATTTCATCTCCATACCAAAATAAACAAAACAACTACAATTATCTGAGACTAATTTCTAGTTTATTCTAGTTATCGTTTAACAACTAATATAATAAATTATATTGAGTCAAATAGTCCAAAGAGGTTAGAACCGGTTCCATTATATTGTACATATACATTACTGTTGTTTTGCGGACGGCGCCGTGATATACCTAAACGCATGACACTTCGGGTTGCCAAGTAGGCCACTAGGTGTCAGCACACTTCTGGGAGCATATTGAATGTGGAACTAAATATTATTTAATTAATTATATATATGTGTGTGTGTGTGTATGTATATATCATAGTTTTATATATATAATAAATTGCTTAAATTATTTTTTATCTCATAAAACTATCGATGTTGTTCTCTTTATTTCGCTTGTCCATGACTTGATTTGTTGTATTATTTATATGATTTTATTATTTGCATGACTGTTGTAGATGTAAAAATGTACGGTTAAATCTTTGTTGAAATAATTCCATCTGGAATCTTTTGTTTTTTTGACCCTTTATTTTAATAATTCATTAAGAGATTCTTCAGATGTACTTTTATTTTATTTTTTTTAAACTAAACAATAAAGGATTGAATAAACAGTACTGTTTATTATTAAACAGTTTTCTTTAATATTTCTTTGATTGATTTGAAAATTAATAAAGATTCCTGCCTCGTCGAAAACACGAGTATTGTTTTTAAAAGAAATATCCATTTTTTTTTTCAATCAAGTAGTATTCCAATATTTTCATGAGCGTTTTCCCTATAACAGTCTCCTTTATTAGAATATATTGTTCCCATATTCCGAAGGCAATATAAAAAGAGAAGTGTTGAAAGGAAATATTACACCGGGGAATCGTTGCTCACCATAAAAAGGCATGTTAAAATAAAAAAATAAAATAAAATATACGTATTATTATTATATCCATTAACGCTTATCGGAAAATAATACTCTAACGAATGCACATAGAAAACAATTAAATTACAAACATAACAACATCGAAATATTTAATATATTATTCTCTTTAATCTTCATGGAGGAGCTTAAGGTCAAGTTCAAAAGAGAACCATCGACCAGTTATATAAGTGTAAAAAAAGGATTTCTAAACTAAGGCATTCGTGCCGCAATGTAGACTACGAGTATGTTCATAAATTTGTTTTCTTAATTTAATTTTATTAAATAATTAAATTTTTCTTTCCAAAATAAATGAGTATTTTAAATTACCGTCTCAGCCTTTATAAAAATAATAATTATTAACTGCTCATTGATAATAATAATAAAATAACTGCTCATTGTATACAGTCGCGGTCGTAGAAATTGCACCACACAGTGCATATTTTAATTTATTTAGTAGATTGCTACTGCAAGATCTCCGAATATTTCTTTGCCAGTTTGAGACCATATTCTAAAAACAATCGCACCATCAAGCGGTCAAATTGTCAGATTGTTTTTTTCTCCTCCCAGTTTCTTTCTTTTCATGTTTTTTTTTTTTTTTTCAAAACTATGACTACCTTTGATTGGTGGTACCCTGTCATCGTTACTGCTTCCTCTGAAGATTCCTTTACTTCATGTAACGTCACAACTTTAATGTTTTTTGACGAGGACAATTTTTGATACATGTCATATTTACAACTTTTATCCTGACATTAGTTAAACTGAACAGAGAAACATTGTTAACATTTTCTTGTAACCTGAATAAATAAAGAAAAAGAAAAACATTCGATGGAATGTTTGTTTCAATGGAAAAGAAAAACAAACGTCATCAACATAAGAATCAAAAGAAATAGGTTATACAAGTTTCTATGATCGTGACTATACTTATATTTCCAATGAGTTATCGTTTTTTTAAGGAGAGAAAATCCAGCATATATAGCAGTAATTTATATCTTTAATTTATCTCAAATATGGGTTTTCTAATTCTCAATTCATTATCAAATAATAAAATTACGCTTGGACTTGTCAGAATTAATGTGTAAATTAAATATGTCTGACCAAAACTAGATATCAGATTTTTTAAATGTCAGTAAGAGATTAGGAATCATTTTTAAGTTTCTTTCCATATTCTCATCATTTCGTAACGAAGACGACTTAAAAATCTCATCGGGCGTAACATAGACGTTCCAGGAAAGTAACATCAACTAGTAACTATACTTCGATTGTTTGTTATTCTTGTCAAATAAAATTAATAATGAATTACCATTTCATTTATTCAACTCTATACGTGATATTTCCCATAAATAACGGGAAATATTTGAAGAAGTAAACTTCAAGTGTAACAAAAAAGTTTTCTAATAAGTTATGTAATCTGTTCAGAGATGGTCTATAGAACTGTTCTCGCCAATTCAATAAATATTAAAATTTGATTTAACTCTACATTTTCACAATAAAAGAATATAACGATACAAAAAAAAAAGTCACGTAGGCGTTACCATATTACAAAAAATAGAAGAATACTCAGCAGATTTTGAAACACGTGGAGCGCTGCTATAATTTTATAAAAATGAATATTTTTCGAAATGTTGGATCAATTAGGTCCCGTGACACCCAACTTCTCGACCCAAGTTTTGTGCGTACAACTAACCGAGGTCTTTAGCAGATTAGTCCCGCCAGTTATTTTTAAACAGGAAAAGTATCTCCAACGAAATAAGTATCAGTTACATTTGAATCAATTTTGTTATCCTTCTATTATATAAACATCTGTTAACAAATTTAAATAGTTAGGAAAACAAACTCCTTGGGGTTATACTCCAGGGTGAATAATGGCAAGAAGAAAATCTTTAGGAACATGGATTATCAATAAGGAGCGCTTCTATATTGGACTCATATCTATGTGACTTTGTTTGGTGGAGAAGATACCATGAAAAATATTTTTTCATGACAATATTACTAAATATCAATGAGTTTTGTCCAAGTGAATGACCTTTGTAAAAAAAATATGAATTGCGTTAATTATAATTAACGCTTTCCATATCATGTGTTTTCTTTAATCACTTAAAAGAGTAAAACTGTAAAAGAGACTTCAGCCTCTTTATTGAATTCACTGATTTCAAATATTTTTAGAAAGTTCGTTTAATTAATTAATTATTTATTTATATATATATATATATATATATATATATATATATATATATATATATATATATATATAAATAATTAATTAAACGAACTTCCTAAAAATTTATATATAATATATATATATATATAAGAATCCATGTGCCCAAAATAACACCAGAAGGATACAGACTGAAATCCAATAAGGAAATTTACAGTGAAACCTCTGATTTGGATACGGAAATGAGGGTAAGAAGACTTAGGTTTTATGGAAACATGCAAAGGATGACCGAGGAGAGGTGAAACAAGAAGATTTTCAGTAGGGTTATGGGATGCAAGTTTAACCATGGATATACGGTACAAATAAAACAGGAAATACAGAAGCTTGGGATAACACGGGAATTATGTGAGGATAGGACAGAACACAAGAATATCCTGAAAAGTGCTGTGCATCTGGTGGACAGTAAGGAACTTCCGTCCAGGATGAAGTGGACGGAGGAGAGGAAGAAAAAATTTAGAGAAATCCTCAAGAAGAGGAAGAGCGACCAGTTTCATAGTCGCGTAGTCCTTCAGGGCCGTTTCGCGTCAAATAAATATATATATATATATATATATATATATATATATATATATATATATATATGAGATAAGGACAGGAGTCGGGCAGTATCAGCCTTAATACCTTCCTGGTATGTAAACAAAGCCCTGAAGTGTATATAAGAAGGATTGCTTCACAAATAAAGCAGTATTGTTTCTGAAGCCGTGTGAGTCATTTAACAGCCCTTTTCTCCTTTTTTTTTATCGTTATATTTCAAAGTCGCATAAGTTATATATATATATATATATATATATATATATATATAATGAATACAAATTAATGTGTAAAATTATTTTATTTTTTTTAAAACTTACATAATCGGTGAGAAGCTCTCCATAGTAGCAGAAGAGAAGGAATTGTGCGTATGATGAAGCTAAGATTGGAGCAGTGTTCAAAACTGCCAGAGTTATGTCGCTCACCTAACAACCGACAACCGCTTTAGTATTTCATTATTGAAGAGAGGAGGAGAGAAATACATAATCTCACGACACTTACCTTCATCACTTGGTATATAATGACACAAGCGTGGAGCACTGTGTAGATCGACTGGATGAGGAAAACAAACCCAAATGTGTTGTTGATGTGTTCAGATATTCTGAAATTATAGCAAACAAAATTGAGCTTTCAATAAGGAAATCCGTCCTATTTCAATATATTTTTCGCCTAATTGAAATATGTGGCGAAATTAAAAACAAACATTTTGACATTTTTTATAGTGGTTTTATTTCATGAGGATGCTTAGATCTAGTTCGTCCGATCCTGTTCAACGTCCTAAAACTAGCTAATTCACTCCATTTTTTATCTTGTTTTCCCCAAATCTAATCAGTTTAACATTTTGAGAGGTTCAATTATTCTATTATAATCAAAAAGGATTATCTCTTGATTTGGGAATTAAAGCAAGACCATTACATTATTTTTTTTTTTTAAACTTTTATTATGATATTTACAACTGTATTAGTATGAATACATCAAGTAAATTTGTACAGAGAAATATTATTACATGAAACACGCTTGTTGAGGAACTACCCACTGGTAGCACTCTACCATTACATTATGAAGTAGAAAATAGACAAGCCTGAGAAATATCGCTTGCGGTCACAATGTTTACATTTTCCTTGTAATTAGATTTTTAAATTTTTCATTCTAAATTTTTTATTTTGAAATAAAACAATAATGTTCCGTTTCTGGCATGTAAGAGTATTTTAGACCTTGCATGTTTGATATAAACAACAAAATTATCATGTTGGCAACGAATAAGTCCAGTCGATTTTTCAGGATGAAATGAAATCAGTGTACGAGGGACATAGCATTTATTTTAATATATAATATATTGACCATTATTTAGTCTGTTTCCATATTTCTACTAACTGCACAGGGATTACTAACATTGACGTGGTGGAAAACTATACCCTTCCGATTTTCAAGCTATGTGATTTTTTTTCTAATCGATTGATTCAGTTTCGATTATTGTCAGCAATGTAGAATTTAATCATTTTTTACTCTTGAAGGCAATAGCTTATAGAAAATAACAATATTATTATTTTTCTGGTAAAAATTCAGCAAACATTTTTGATTAGTGCTTTAGGCTAAGACATCTTTCCCATAAACACTCCAAAGTGTTTTCTTATAAAAAATATATCTAGATACCCAGAGGCAATGTGAAACAGCAATCGTTTCGTTTCATACAAAAATGCATTTAGTTTTTAAACATTCGTTTAACTGAATGACATAATGTTTATCATGCACTGTGATGACAAAGAGATATTTGTTATAAGATCTTTTGTTCTCCAGGACCGGCAAGGTGGCACTGATTTTAGATCCAAATGTTAACTATGAGATCAATCACCTCGATCAGTCCAATGAAGTAGAACAAGAAAAGAAGGAAATATACGATAAAGGTATCCCTTTCCTAAACGAGAAATCCCGTGAGATCTTCGGAGAGTTCACCGAGAGAGGTCTCTGGTTTGGGTCCCGCGGAACGATTCTCAAAAGAACAAGGAGCTTCTTCGAGGATCTAGGTGTTGATGTCGAAGAGCTGAGCATTATTCTGGACTCCCTTGAGATCATTCATCACCCCATATCCGTATATGGTAGTTAGGAATTAATTATAAATATTTATTATAATTTATTTATTTAATCAATTTTAAAATAGTCAACTAACCATATCTTTTTATCTGTGTTCATAGGATTCTGTTTCTTGCTATCTGTGCGCTCTAATTTTTGTAAACCAAAATTTTTGTTTCTATAAATTTCAGGGATTGTTTTTTATCGGTCTTGTGTATGGTTTGTATAATTGTAATTATGTCGGTATAATGTTGTATATATGGAATTGAATATAGAAAGTGATATGGAAAAGAATTTGTATATATATATAATTATGTGATTTGAGTTTAATTAAGTGCTAGGTCCAAAAAAAAATAAAAAGGATTGATGAGTATGCTGTATATATATACCGAGCAATCGTACATAGTAGGGCAGCACTGCTTTAAATAAAGTATTTGCCCAGAATGAATTGTCCTATAAGAAATCCTAAATACCGACTAGGGAATAATAAATAAAGTAATTAACAAAGGAAGATTATTTAAACCATTGAAAAAACAATTTCAATTATAACTCATTATAAAAATTAGATATTAATAATAACTAAAAACGTTTCTTTAAGAATTATATTAACTAAGCACATTTGAGTAAATACCTTAAGAGAGCGACGTGTAGGCGATAGCATTCAGTAAGTATTTCCTTGTCCTTCTTTTTGTTACCTGTCGTACCTAATTTTTCCATCTTTGCGCTAATTGAGGCAATGTGACCGCATATCGCACCAGCGCAAACTGGGAATATTGTGTCGTATGTGGAGTGAGTAACCGCGCAATAGGTTGCCGCCACGAAGTCGATAGAAAAAGCTGTTGGGAACAACATAAAAAAAAAAATTAATAATTAATTTAATCTAGTGACAAAACAAAATAATAAGTTATAAATCGCCGATGTTCATTGAATGTGCACAGTGTTCTTACTGTTTATTCCACAATATATTTATATTAATAACATTCACATCTTGATCCATCACTCCCAATACCATATTTGGTCTGACGATTTCCAAATCTACCTGTCCTTCCGGCTTTCCGCTCTATTAGCAGCCACCAAAATCTTCATGAAGACTTGAATAGACTCTGTGACAGGGCAGAAGGTAACAAGTTGAAGTAGAATAAGAAAAGATAAAGGCAATCTTAATAGACTCCTTCTTAAATCTTAAATCTTCTTAAATCGACACAATAAATCTTCTTAAAAATATGGGAATATCCCTTGACCAAACTCTTTCGTGGAAAAATCAAATATCTAATATTCCCCACCATGCCTTTCCCAGCATAATCTGTCTAAAGTACCTCCGTCACCTGTTTCTATTAGAAACCCACTGGTTCATGGTTTCCTTAATATGCTACCTACTTTGAAAACTGTTGTTTTTATTTCACATTATTTTAGAAGCTAACTTATAACTTTTAATCATTTATATTGGTTTCTTATTTTTTTTTTCGATTTATATCTTAGTCTCTACGAACATCAATTCTGTTGTTCTACTTTTAAAGGGACCTACTCCTGAACAAATAAATATTATTATTAATCCGAGTATATCTAAATCATCAAATGTAATCACAAGTTTTTTTTCTGTTTATTCTGTTTTTTTTATGATTCGTCAGCATGATAACTTCTATGATAAGGTCGGCAGTATATTAACTTGTCCAACGTTGCACATTTTCCTTACTTTAACATGGTGGCGACTGATACCAATCCTCCCTGAGTGAGCTATCTGTCCATTCCTACTGAAAGCTGTTCCATCCTAATCCTATAAGGTTTTATTAAAATCCTTGACATTTAATGTCACTGAGGCGGTATCATGGGTTCTCAAATAGTCTTATTTTTAATATATATAGTATTATATAATATATATAATATTATAGCAAATATTTTTTCCAATCGGAATGACGATTCCCTAAAATTCTAGTGCCCTTTCTTACTTTTTCGCTACCGGCTTCTTATGCGTAAATATAGCTTTTGAAAGAATTTGATAATTGAATATGGAAGGAAAAAAAAAAGAAAATACAAATTCAGGCCGAAAATGGGTATCCGGAAATTATAATTAGAATGTGTATGTATAATATATCATTGGGAAACGGGGAATTTCATAAAAAATAATATCAAATAAATAAAGTTGTAGAAGGTAACGAAGAGTGACAAAAATATATAAATAATAATTTCAGAAAACTAACATTATTTAACGTAAATCACGTGTTTTCAAAGAAATTAAATGAAAATTTCTTACTAAATGTAAACTTTACATTTTTTTTTTTAGTTTGAAAAATTATTTAAAATTCACGGATTCAAGGCAATGACACTGTTTAAGATACTACACCATTGTATTTGTGTGAAATAAGTGAAATATAAAAATATTTCATGGATATGTTTATAACCTTAAATATATTTACTGTAGTTTAATAACTCTAGATATGATACTATATTTAAATTATTAGGTATCTATCGTCCGTTTGTTTCGAAAAATCATCATTTAACCTTTTAGAAAATTAAATTAGTGAATATTTTTTTCTTTGTGATATTCCAACAGTATCCACTTCCAATTAGTGTGGTATCTTTTTACCGGTATTTGACAGACAATGCAAATATCTTAATTCCATTTTAGTAAATTTTGCAACGGAAAATAACAATTTAATTACTAACAGCCGTACGATCCATAATCAACCAGTAATATAATAAATATCATTTATAATTATATAGGTAATAAAATAATTTTGTTATTTTAATGGTATTTATGATTTGTTAGCTGTAAGCTTTTAGCTTTAGCTCGGTTAAAAATGGAATTCAAACATTTTATAATAGCCCAACATGGCCGAAAATAATTTCTATTCAAATTTGAGTGGTAAGTGAAATTTGGGTGTTGCGTGCACCAGATTTTTTTTTTCAATTCAATTCAGAACAAAAAAATAGACAGTAGTGGCCCCTATTTGAGCTTTGAAGTCTTAAATAGGCCGAATGAAAATAAATAATGAAATATAATACTCCAACAAAAAAGCTCTACAGACTGATATATTAAGTATAGATTGAATGCCACCATACTAATTGAATGATAAAGGGATTTATTTAATTAATTTTGACTTTTAATAAAAGTGTTAACATATCACGAATCCAAATTTTGATATCTACCTACACCTCTGCAGCAAGTTTATTAAGGGTTGATTCAATTTAGTCCGGAGTCGGGTGAAATGTAATTCATTTAGGGGGCCGTATAATAAAAGTCCAATATCAGGGGAGGTCGAAAATTGGTGAAAATCTGCAGATAGCGAGCCTTTCAAATTATTTAATGTTTTATTTATATTTTTTTTTTATAATTGAGCCATAGAAACCCAAAACTAGCAAACTCCATATTAATTTTATATTTTATTTATTTATTTTTTTACAACATTTGCAACTGCGCAGTAACTCATTAAACAATCAACTCATCAAAAGGTATATAATTTAAGACAACTGCAGCCTAACAGAATCATCTACAGACCGTCGCAAAAGTGATACCACCTATCGGTGGGGAGAAAACAACCGATGTACTTGAGTCCTCTCTAGGACCTAGACCAGAGAGTCAAAGGGCTCCATAAGCTATCATATAAAATACCCATAAATTCACCATGAAGGAGCGGCATAAGGAGGCAATAAGATTGCCAGCACATAACGCTCTAACCAGGTGTGTAAGCAGAAGCGAGCTGTAGGAAACTGCAAGTGTTATCTATTTATCTTGATGCATCTATAAATAGAGCATTGACAGCATATTCGGTTATTTCCAAAGTGAACCATAGTCAATTTTTATGAAAATTGAGATAAGTATTGTATTGGACTCGTGGTGCCATCAAATTATATCTTCAGTTTCAACCGCCAGTCATTCCCGAAGTGTGCAGCCGCCTTCCAATCAATCAATTCAAGGATAACTCGGGCATCTGCTTTTACTCAAGCAGCATCTGCTTTTGCAGGAGTTTATATGGAACACCAAGGTCTAACGTATCGTTAAATAGTTCTTCTCTTAAGATGTTATCATAAACTCTCCGATAATAAAGAGATAATGTGTATGCCCATATTATGCTCCCCGGTCTTCTCGAGAATATCAACGGTAGATCTTCCTCGTATAAATCTAGCTTGACATACACCTATTTCACTCTCCGCGAAAGAGCGTAACTTCTGAAAGAGGATTCTTGAATGGATTTTATATGCACGTAATAGAAAGGATATCCCGCGATAATAGTGGCAATCCAGGATATCTCATTTCTAGGCAGATAATGTCTTGTACTAATCATCTAGTATTGCTTCTTCTAGCCATATATCCAATATGATGTTGTAGAAAAACTTTGTAAGCACTTCTCCACCATATTTAAACAGTTCTAAGAGAATCCTATCTATCTCCGATGACTTACTGTTTTTAGATACTTTTTTGCATCTTCAACATCTCCCATGTCGGTAGACTCCAAGCCGCCATCTGGTATTTCCTGACTATCTACCATTTCCAAAATCATTAGTAACTAACAATTAACCATCAATATATATAATTTGGGTACCACCACTCAACAGCGACAATGTTTCTTTTCTTTCATATTTATTTTTTTTACGTAAACTTTATTTTGATTTACATTCTAGGTACGTAATGAACAACCCTTGTGATCAAGTTCAGCATCTTATATAGTCTTATTCCCCTCATTTTCGGAATAAGAAGGCCTAATGCGCTTATATATATATATGTATATATATATATATATATATATATATATATATATATATATATATATATATATTGGTTTAGTAATAATTAAAATATGAATTATGTAAACAATATAATAGTTTATTTCAAAAATGCCTCTTGTGTCAATTTGAATTCGGCCAATGTAAAATTTTGGTTATACCGTTTCTTCTTGGCAAAAAAAAAACACATCATTCTTCTTTGAAAAAATAAATTTAAAATACTCCAAGCAAGAAAAAGATTTGTTAATCAATGTTTCCAAAGTTTTATGAGTTTCAAGATATTTCGAATCCAAAAATCAATCATAAAAAATTCTATAACGAATAACGCCGGATAAATTACTGATTAACTATTAATATTTTGAGAATCGTAGATAAGAAATAATTTTAGAAATATTATGTTTACTTTGTGATACAGGAAGCGATGGCTATCACGAGACCTCCCCGCCTACAGCCAATTAACAGAGCTGAAAGGAAGGAAATCTTCCGCCAATCAGCGAGCGAATTGGGAACTGAATAAGGTTCTGGTGGCCAATCATATCTAATAAAATTAATCTATTTAACCAAAACCTCCCTTTGATGCCGGTTCACCCCTTCCCCAACGTTGTTACACGATGCTTTCCAAAGTTAACTTAATAAACTACGCCTTAAGTTGTAGTGATTACATTAATGGAGGGGTGAAAGTCTTATAAAGAAGTTGAGTAATTAAGTGGCGTTTTAATGCCAAATGGAAAAGATAGATGCAGTGATGAGGATCGCAGCTAGCGTATAATTTCTTTACACTATCAAAAAAAATTAAATAAAAAATCATTGTATAAGTGTGGATATAAAACTGTGTGAATTATCATTCTGACTTGATTGCTTATATCAGAAGGATATCCGCTTTGTTGGCGTTTGAAAGGGACTTTTTTTTTTTAATCTCAAGTAATCAATATAATAAACTTTAGCTATTGTTAAGACATGACTGGTTGCAAGCCAGCAGAGGAAGGAACACACTCTATTGGACAACGCGACCTTTAAGATCGCAGGACAACACAGCGTCATAGTCAGAGGACTGGATATTGCACTAGGCGCCAGTGAAAGTAATGTGAAAGTAATGCAAAAATCTTAATGTTTTAAAAATATCTTGAGCCTATTTCTCATTTAGTATATTTAAAGAATAAATTATGTGAAACAAAAACTCAGAGCTCTGATAAAACGTAATTCGTATTAAAATTGCATAATAATTATAATGTAAATCATTTAAAATATAAATTATAAAACAAATTATATGTTAAAAAATGAGTCGTTCATTTCCAAATTTAACCCTAAATATCATTGATGAATTTTCAGAAATCGAGAAAAACAATATTTTCTATTCCGATTTGAATATAAAAACCAATTTATTAATAAAAATAATTCAAGAAATTCTTTAAAAATAGCACATATTTTTGGAAATCACTGAATTCTTTAACTGTTAAAAAATAAATAAAAAATTATTGAACATCAAATGGGTCCGCTTTTGGTTATAATTAAACTCCAAGGCCTTTTTCAAAATAATACAGGCTGATTGGGGTTCGGTTCCCTAGAGAAAAAAATGTGAATTATTCGGGAAGAAAAAAGTCATAAAAATTCTACTCTAAGAAATTTAATATTTGTTTAAATTAATGGTAAGTTAAATAAATTTATTTTTAATTTAAACAAAAATTTTAAGAAAGATTTTATGAATTATTTTGGATGTAAAAGATTTTTAAAGGAATTTGAAAGGAAAACGAGCTTTTGTGAAAGACTAGTAGATATTCGATCAATCCAAAGTGTGAGGCACTTTGCAAAAATGCAAAAATCTTTTGCAATTGCACTAAGCAGGAGGAGAGCTATTTTCCTTTATCGATAGACCTCTCTATAACCTGCTTCAAAGTGAAGATAGTCCCAATGTACAACTTCAACAGCAATCTGAAATAAAGTGGTTTACACCATTATAAACCTCATTTACTTCCTCCAGACCTGCTTGCCAATTGCTTAGAACAAATCTTTCTTGCTGATAAAGTGGTCTTCACCACAATAAACCTGCTTAATATCATCCAAACTCATCAAGCATTTTGACCCTCTTTTAGCATCATCTTGAAATATTCTGTTTATTTGTCTACTATATATTTGTTTAGCCATATAATAGATACTGATCCTTGTTTTCTTTTCCGAAATTTTGCCACTGTCGTTCGCTTAATGTATTTTTCCAATGTTTGGGTTCAATTTCGCGTTTTCCCTCATTTTGAGACCAAATACTAACAATCATATCCAGTTACCTATAAGAATTTATAGCTTCGCCCTTTCCATATTTCTTTTGTGCAGAGGGAATAATGCACTTTAATATTAAAAGTTCCTATTTTTATTATATGGTCCAACTTTCGAATAAAATAAAGGAAATAAAAATGTTTTTGATGATATATGAATTTTACTAAACAATCCATCGCCTATTCATTAAAAGTAGTTCAGATTAGGTATATATTATTTTAGTTTATAAAACAGATATTAATATGACTCATTTCCGGGTAAGTATATACAATTTAAATTACCTCTAAGAATTAGTAAATATATAAAACAAAATGTTAAATTGCAAATATACGGAACTACTTCAAATATTTTAAAAAGTAATCAGTGTTTTAGAAAGAGAAATGTATTCTCCAGATGTTTGATTTCAGCACGTTTTGCATTATTGTTGACCGTTTAATTACAAATGACGCTTGATTTTCAACTTGAAAATTTTTTTGTAAAAAAAATTGACTTTACCGATTTTTTTTAATGCCTAAGCCTATTAGTTTTTAATATTTTTTCATGTTTTATTATTCTCTGACTATCCAGCTTTAATAAAAGACCAACTATAATGAAATTAAGCCAAATGCTGATTCTCAGTAACAAAAAAACTAACTAAAGTCAAAGTCGTCAATCCGCCATGTTTGGACGCCATTTTGGGGCAGTTCGTTCACTTTTTTTTGTGGGAACATTGGCTTTTTTTTAATAAATTGTCACAAGGAACACAACGATATGCAATTTATAGGGATGTGGGGGGGGGGGGGGGGGTGCACGGTAAGGAGGTCTGGCCCACCGGGTAATTTATTTGTCAAGACTTATCATAAGAGGTGCGAATTAGGAATAGAGTGTAAAATAAACTTGAAAATGAATGTGTGAACGTACATAGGAAATACCTGAAGGGGGTGTGGTCCCCCCAGGGCCAGTCGGTGGGGAAGGGTATGTTGTGCATGTAGAACATGGAGCAGGCGGTCCAGGTGGCCGGGATGAGGCAGAGCAGGCCGAGGTAGAGGGTGGCGTGCCGCACGGAGCGGTCCCGGTGGGGGGTTGCGGCCTCGTCCACCGCCCCCAGCTCCTCCACCATGTCCATCAGCAGCAGCAGCTTCTTCCCGAACAGCTTCAGCACCAAGCTCTGGGGCAGCAGGAGAAGACAATCAGGCAGTTTGGGGGTACGACGGTTTGTGGAGGATATACACACTATATTGAAATTGACGGATTGATTTAAAGACTATTGTCAACATAAATTTACTACAAAGAGGAATATTTCAAACCAATTTTAGTTCAAATGAATTTGTTGAATTTGTATCCATTTCAACATATGACAACATTTTCAATCAAGTTTACAAAAGCGTATCTGTAGCATGAAAAACGCAGGTATATTTGGAAAGAAAGAATATCAAATCACATATATTTTTTTAAAGTATGTAAAGTTGAATCACTGCTTATCCCTTAACATAAATAATAAGAACTTTAAGCTTAATTAATACCAAAGTTTTTCTAAAAGTGTAGTTTGTCTAGTCAAGTTGAAAAGGGCCAAACGAATCGTAAATAATCCATTATTTTCCATGCAGAATTTAATAATAATAATTTTTTATTTATTCTGGGACGAATCCCTTTAGAATAATTAACAAGGACATAACAGTGGGCTTTTCAGCCTCAGATATATACATATATGTATTTACTAGTTAACTAATAGATATAATAGAGAAAAAAAAACACAAAAAAAAAGTTATCTTCTAGATTAAATCGATTAAGAAGAAAAATAAATGAAATGAAAATAATTGGAAATAAACTAAATATATATATATATATATATATATATATATATATATATATATATATATATATATATATATATATACATATATATATATATATATATATATATATATATATATATATATATATATATATTCTTAGTTTAGATATAATAAAACTCTATATAGATATATAGAATTATTTATGAAAAATATTATATATATATATATATATATATATATATATATATATATAAAAATAGAAAAATAATTTTATTCTGGGACGAAGTCCCTTCAGAATAACAATAAAGTACAGATATTAAAATTTTACATCTGGCCAAATAAAAACAAACATAACAAATTAAGATAAAGATAGGTTATTAAAAAAAAGAAAAGAAAAAAATATTGGTTATACATACTATATACAAAATAAAATAAAAAAATCTATATAAAAAACTCTTGAAACCATACTAAGATACTTAAAACTATGTACAATCTTAAAATATAAATAAACCCTTTTAGAAAAAATAAAAAATACAGAAAAAATAAATGTATATTCTTCTTAACAGTAAAATCTGTTTCTGTTGAAAAAAAAAAAAAAGAGAAAAAGAAAGTCGAATCTATAATAAGTATTCAGATCATGAGCTATATGTGAATATGGTCTTATAGATAATATGTAATTTTACATAAAAGGCTGGTGCCTGACTGTTTTTGGGACAGGAATTGGAATAGGAGGGTTTTGAATGTATATAAGGATGAAGAATGTCGAATTTTGATAGGAAGGGAATTCCAGAAACTAACAGAACGTGCAATAAAGGAGTTTTGGAACTAGGCAGATCTGTGAGAAGGAATGTAAAGGTCGGAAGGTCGAGATCTTGTGGAGAGAGAGTGGACTGAGGACTTGAATTGGAGAAGGTTGTAGGCGTAGGAAGGACGATGATTGTTGATGATATGATAGAGGAATGTACCTAGGAAATATTGTCTTCGAATGGAGGGGAAGAGCCACTCTAACTCAGTGTAATGGTGAGAGACATGGTAGTATCTCGGGGCACCAATTACAAATCTCACGCAACTGTTCATTATTCTTTTCAGTCTGTCGCGGAGCTCCACCGAGACTCCATCATACACCACACAGCAGTAGTCAAAGTGGGGGAAGATGAGAGAGGAAACGTGGAATCTACGCGTATGTTGAGGTAGGAGATGGCGGAAGCAATGGAATAGTTTGAGGGTAGAAACTGTCCGTCGGGAGATGTGAGAAATATGGTGACTCCAGGAGAGGGTTTGATCAATAAATAGTCCTAAATTTTTTACAGAGGAGTAGAAGGAGATTGACTGGTCACCAAGGTATAGTATGGGAAAGTCCGTATAGGATCTAAGGCGGGGCTTGGAACCAATGATAATGGCCTGAGTTTTTGAAGCATTTAACCTTAATCCGTTTAAGTTTGCCGAGGCACAGATTCGATCTAGGTCTGCTTGGATCTTAGTAAATGCTACCAATAGCTCAGGGGGAGAAAAGGATAGGTATATTTGAGAATCGTCTGCATAAAGGTGGTGGGAACAATGGAGAATTGAGTCATGGAGGTCATTCATATAGGAACTAAAAAGGAGAGGAGATATGCTAGATCCTTGGGCAACTCCAGAGGATAAAGGCAGGTAGGCAGATAGTGGTTGATTAGGAATGGAGACTGCTTGGGTGCGTTGTGATAGAAAAGATTGGAACCAATAGATGGAGCTATTGGAGAAGGAGAGTGATTTTAGTTTATATATATATATATATATATATATATATATATATATATATATATATATATATATATATATATATATATTTACAGAAGTTTCTATTTACAATTTTAGAGGGACTGGATGGAAAGAAAGTGATTGAATAGGCGGGATTTAAAAGCAGAGAAAGTATTGGATCGACGGATGTCGGGACGGATGGAGTTCCGTAGGGATGGGGATCGAATAATAAAATATTTATCGAAAGCAGCAGTTCGGTGGGCCATTATATATAAATCTGAAGACCGAGAACGGGTGTTGCGGGAGTGGACAGAGGATTTAAATTGAAGGAGCTCGGCGATGTATGAAAGACGGCGGAGGTGAATGACTTGGAAGAGGAAGGATGCCAGGAAATATTTAATTTAGCATAGTTTAGGTGCTTAAACTCCACTATAAATGAGTTTAACAAATACAAACTCTACTTGCACTCAACTTGTAAAAGTAAATTTTGTTTACTATTAAACGATTGCTTATTACCTGAATTAATCAATTTTGTATCACTTGTAGTTAAATGTAAATCTGACCATAGTTTATAGGTATTTTTTATGGATCTTGATGCTTACAATGACTTACTTAGATACTTCTCATTACTTATCCACCCTGAATATACAGATAAACTTACTTTACAGATAGCATAAACAAAAGCTATACAAGCTACAACACCGTTCATAGCCCTAGTGTACTCCTGTATCGTCGGATGCTCCCTCTGCAAAACATACTTGATGGTGAGGGTGGTGATGGATATCATGGACGTTATGTACATAATGGGATACAATACCAGCCAGGTAATTCTGTAATTAAAAATGTTTCTTCAATTAGATCACTTTTCACACACAGGTTTATTAGTATCCCAATTTTAAAATATTGTTTTAACAATACATCAAAGTAAAATGTAATACCGTACAAACAATTAAAAAAAATAGTTTAGAAACACTTTATTTTAAGGCCAAATAGTTTTATTGGTTGATAGTTCCAGAAATTACCAGTCTGATTCAAACATTTATTTCCACGTTATGGCCTATAGAAAAGGTGTATAAAAATAATCTGATGAACTGTAAGTAATTTAGCACAGTTTCCTCTCAATATTGTACATGGTTTTTCTATAGAGCAAGGACATACAGTCGACTCTCGATAATTCGATTTTTTCGAATATTAGAACTTTACAGTTGTTAACTTCGTTAAATCGAAAAAATACTGTAATTCGAAACCTTTTTTGTAACAAGAGGAGGAGAGGACGTTCTATAATTTGAATAGAGCCACTCCCTTCCTTTAATTCGAAATCTTTCAAGTATTTTTTTTTTTTTAATGAGGCTATTTATGCATAAAATTTATCCAAGCTAATATATATTTTTTCATAGTTCAAATTTCTTGGTAACTGGAAGGTTCGATTAACGAGAGTCGACTGTATTATTCATCATATTAAAGTCGACTTAAGATAGCCAGACCCATCCTGATCCAATTTTGGAAAACACCAGTATATACATTATACCACAGGGAGAATGAACCAAAAATAAATTTTAAGATGATATAATGTAAGTTTTCTAACTTTCATTATTTAGTTTAAATCATTAAAAAAAAAAGTTATTAGTATAAAGGTTTTACACTGAAGATGATTTCTGTGGTCAATATGGTTTTTAGGACTATACGGTCAACCAAATTCACTTGTTCACTTACTTATTACAAACTCGATATATGCCTATATAATACAAAATTTAAGCGGATGAACGTAGGCTTCGAGTTAATAATAAATAAAATAAAGATAGATATGAATTGACAAGTAACCATGGCAATATATTTAGCTGATGTGTTGTTTGTTGAACGTCAACAAATCAATTACATTGGCATCTGAAAAATGGAATATGAGTATGTAAGCCAAAGCCAGTTAAGGCCTCTTACTTCCTCATCTCTGTTTTTTGTAACTACCCAATCTATATATGTATATAAAATCCTCTTATAAAATATTGTAGCTCAGCAGAGACTTTATCAATCTCCTTTAATATGGTTTATTCCAACAATGCACTAACGGATACAGAATTTTATTTTGGCGAGCTTCAACCCGAATTTTTTTTTTTTTTATTTGTATGTATATATTAGGATAATTACTCCGGAAGAAAGAAAGCAACTAATTACCTGATTGAAATGTTGTTTAAATGATTCTTTAAGTCCTATTAAATGTAATTAGACGAACAATAATACTTTTATAGATATTTTTTTTCATAAAACTTGGTTATATTATACCGTTTTGGGAGAAGGACTTCAGCCCGAAAGCCTCCCCTCCGTAGACCCGCCTGTGCAACAGTATAATAAACATACTAGCGTATATAACACCAATGCAACCGATGTGACGCCTTGGGGCGGAGAAACTCTCGGGGGGTGGATGCATAAATTTATAGAAATCTTTTCAACCTTTACAAGAACTTACTAGATGATATAACCAACTCTCACATCTTCTGGACTACAGATCCTCACTCAACTTAGGAAAAAAGCGACTGATTTAGAAATAGAAATAGAAAATCATCTTTATTGTAGGATTAGATCCCTTAAGAATAACAATGTTGTTTATACCAATTGACAATAAATCTGGCCAGGTGACCTATTACAATAAATAATACCTAAAATCTAACTAATAAAATATATAAATAGCTCTGAAGATTTATTAACGAAAGGAAATGGGTACTAAGATTACAATACTACAATATTGGTGCAAAAACAAAAACATATAAATAACGAAATAAAATTGGAAAGAAACGCTATTCACAAATTATGAGTTCATCGTATGTTTTGAAAAATCTTAATTTTACATTAACTTTTATTGATGTTCTAGCATAAAATTGAAAATCCAAATGGCTATTCGTGCAACGTGATATTTATTTACTTTCTATTGATACACCAATCTTCAAAATACATCACTCCTAAGAGCTGGAAAGGGGTTCTATATTACAAAATAAAATATAAGATGATAATCCGTGCTCAATGTACGAGTTAAACGAATTTCTGTTATACCTTGCAACAGAAATGGGCAAATGCTATTCCGCGTACTGAGTACCAAGTATTTTACTCAAATACTTACGTTTCTTGAGTACCAAAGAATTTAATTACTACTTCAGTTGATGTCAACCAATTAACTGGAGTAGTGATTGAATTTCCAATAGTGATTCAATTTGAGTATAATACTTGTTACTCGGTACTCAGAGTAGCATTTGCCCAACACTACCTTGCAACTACTATGGCTTAAATTAACATACTCTATTTGATAACAAAAATTTGTATTGCTCTTTCTCTACGTATGTTATTCCATCACTGTATTAATTTTAGCAATCTCTTACATAATAAAATTATCGTATGGAGTACCAAATTATAAATCTGATATACGTTGTTTTATTTTATTGCTTATGCTGTGTCACAAGTGTGAGAGTTAACAAGGAAATAAAGTTCCATGAAGTAAATTAGAAAGACAAAGTTAATAAATTTAAAAGAAAGGGCTACTTTATGTCCCGGGGCAACAATGAGAACCAGGACAATAAAGTTTCCATTGCACTGCTTTACACGGCTTAATTAAATCCTTGCTACATTGCTACGTCTTCCTTATTTAAACTGTGTATTGAAATGCAAACTCTTAGAGAGTGGAGAAATATAATGAGGGATATATCAAATATATTATACTCCTAGATTCCAATGAATCTGACATAATCCAAATTTTCATTACCGTGTTTGAGATTTCTGAAGTTAGCGTAACAATTAATCTTGTGGAGTAGAGATATTCTTATCTACCTCTTGGTCAGAGGCACAACTGAGGTTGACGCGCCTCATTCAGGCGTTTTCGTGTATCCCTACGTCTTTAAAACTTAAACTCGAATCATTTTTCAAATACCTTCCTTAACATTCTTAATATAACACAATTATTCAGAAAAATCGTTTTTAAGAAACAAATATTATTAAATTGTTTATCTGAAAGAGATTTTACATGATATTTTTTTATTTAAATATTATACGCCATTTGTACCAGAGCAATAGTGCATCTAGCAAATTTGGTGTATTAATTCGCTGCGAATTTTCCCGATTTACTTAATTCGCGTCAATTTTGTTATTATTGAAAAATTAGGTCTCTTGGTCATTTTCTTTTTATTCTTCGTCGATCTGGTAAAAGGAAGGAGGAAATTGAAAGAACTAGAGGATTGAAGTGGTTTTGAGTTGAAGAATGAAATGTAGAGTATTCGTCGTGGATGTAGAATTTTACTGTTGCAGTTAGTTAGGATTTTAGGTCTTTAGTTCGTTAGGATATACAGTGTTATATGAAATATACCAATGCGTTTACAATGTTTCGTAAATTTTTTTATTGTGTTGTTTGTATTTCCTTTATGGGTGTTTGTTTTGCCAAAATTCAAAGTTCTGCTCCGTATATCTAAATCGGCCTCAGTATAGTGTTGTAAATACAATCTCCTACAATACAAGTCATCAATCCACATCCTCTCCACAAAATCTCGTCCTTCTGACCTTTATACCCCTTCCCTCAGATCTGCCTCATTTAAACATTACTTTGTTTTTCGTTCCACTGCATTCTGGAATTCCATCCCACTAAAAATCCGCCATGAATAATCCCTATCCACATTTAAAACACTCTTATTCCAATTCCTTTTCACAATTGTATTTTATTTTACTTAAAAGTATTATATTTTTTACTTATCTTCTACACACTCCTCTCTATGTATATGTATATATTTCTTTTTTCTGCTCGTAATCTATTGCTTCATAGGTAGATCACAATACTTGTCTTGTTTTTTATCTTCTTGTTTTATATCTTCAAGTGTTGTCACTTAAACTTATTTTTTTTTTATTTTAATATTTTATCACTGAAATGGTTTGCCTATAAAACTTATATAGCGGTTCTTTCCAATTTTATTTAGTTATTTGTATGTTTTTGTTTTTGCACCAATATTGTAGTATTGTAACCCTAGTGCCCGTCTGCATTCGTTAATAAATCTTCAGAGCTATTTATATACTTATTTACTTATATACTTATTAGTTAGATTTTAGGTGTTCTTTATTGTAATAGGTCACCTGGCCAGATTTATTGTCAATTGGTATGAACAACATTGTTATTCTTAAGGGATCTAATCCTACAATAAAGATGGTTTTCTATTTCCATTTCTAAATCTGTCGCTTTTTTCCTAAGTTGAGTGAGGATGTGTAGTCCAGCAGATGTGATAGTTGATTATATCGTCTAGTAAGTTCTTGTATTTTTAATGTCGTACGTATGTACTAAGTAATATTTGTGTCCAAGTAGAGTCCGAGGTACCGTTCATAGTTTTTTTAAGACACTTGGTTATTGTCAATAGTTGTAGGTGAGCAAGAGCCTTTCCTAAAACTTTAATTATTTAAACACAATAAATACTTTTAAATATATACAATTCGAAAGTACTTAAATCATCAATGCCGACGAAAACAGTGTATGCAAACTATAAAGAACAAGAATGTTTTATATCAATTCTATATTATTTCATTAAAAATAAACTTCGCTGCATGCATCCCCTCCACCACAACGCTGCACGTATTCTATTTGACCTACCATATCGAAGAAGTTTTATTAGCCTATCAGATCGTCCTACGTCGCGATGTCTTCTAATTCCTTTCTTTGTATTGAATGTTCAACAGTCTAGGCCCTGTATTCTCTTTAATCCTTTCGATCTGTAAACCATTTTCAATAAAAATGCTGAGATAGCAGTGTTTCATCTTTAAGTAATTCTTTCCCATTCCTCGCCTCCA